TTATTATGTTATTCCATTTCTGGTCTGACTTGACGTGAACTAATTTCAAAACGCAGAGTTTCAAAACGTCAAAACATTTGGTTAATGATTAACATTTAACCGAATTTAGCCGTTGATTGACAACTACATAAAAATACTAACCAATCCGTTTTTCCCGTTCACCAGCGGACGGGTAATTCAAAAAACCCTAGTTTTGCGGCAGACGGTATTTCCTTTGCTTCCCTAATTTTCGCTGCCCGTAGAAATACCGCCTGCCATGCAGGCTAGTTGTTACCGGAAATATCTGCTTCCCCCCCTGTAAATCCAACGGTAAAGGAGGCCTGGTTGCGCAGACGTTCGCCGTAGTAATTTTCGGCCTGGGCAAGTTCAATATAAAATGGGTTTTGATTTCCATTGTTAAAATATGGTCCAAAACTTGTACATCTCGCCGAAGTACCTCCGTATTTTCGAAGAACGGCATTTGTTGTACATGCTGGCGAATTTTTTTGGAGAATAAAGCGATTTGAGTGTGAGAATTTTCGATTCGAAGTGCCGTGCCGTCGTATCGACGATCAGGAATCGTTAGCCTTTATCATGTTTCATGTATACTAGTAACATCGAGTACAAAGTCTCGGAAAATATTAGTCCAACAAAGGAGGAATAAAAGGAGAACACACACTATCAAATAGGTAAGTCAATTTCATTTTAAAATTTATATTTTACGACATATTTTTACTATAATATACATTAATATAATATAATATACATTTATACTATAAGTCTACTGAAGCCCCGTTTACACTACGCTCAATTTTTGGTACGGCACGGATAAAAGTGGTACCCGTACCACTTTTTTGGTTCTTGGACTACCTATTTAGGTAGTCCAAAAACCAAAAAGTGGTACAGTACCAAAAATTGAGCGTAGTGTAAACGGGGCTTAGCTAAATAGGTAGTCCAAGAACCAAAAAAGTGGTACGGGTACCAATTTTATCCGTGCCGTACCAAAAATTGAGCGTAGTGTAAACGGGGCTTGAGCCAGTGCGAGATTGGGCCGCCTGTGGGTCAAGGCGAGAATTAATAGAGACCTTAAGATTGACGTTTACGGCAAACGTCAAACCGCTAGCGAAGTTTTTGATTTTACAACTCAATTATTATAGCTTTTACACCAGTTTTGAAATATGTTAAACTTATTAAACTTGTGCTCTTTAGCAATGATTTAAGAAAGCAAATTTACCACTAGTCATGCCATTCACCAAAGCAATAAATTAAGATTTGGCGTCTGAAGTTGACGTTTGGCGTATAAATTTCATGCTGGAACTGCTACGAGGGCTTGTAGTCGTTAAAGCATGAAATTTATACGCCAAACGTCAACTTCAAACGCCAAATCTTAATTTATTGCTTTGGTGAATGGCATGACTAGTGGTTAATTTGCTTTCTTAAATCATTGCTAAAGAGCAGAAGTTTAATAAGTTTCACATATTTCAAAACTGGTGTAAAGGCAATAATAATAGAGTTGTAAAATCAAAAACCTCGCTAGCGGTTTGACGTTTGCCGTAAACGTCAATCTTAAGGTGTCTAATATAAAGGTCAAACGCACGTAACAAATGCCATAATCGATTTCTTCGAATTTCTTTCCTTTTATGCTTTATGGAAGAAAATAAATCAAACAAACAGTGTTTTGAAAGGGCTTCATCAAAATCTTTGACGAATTTTGGACATACACGACGCTGAAAGAACAGCCAAACTAGTTCTGTATTCGAAAGCTTGTTGTTGACAGCCAAGATGTTCTGCCCACTTGCTTCGCCGGCAAAAGTCTTATTTTTAATATCAGGTCCTACCGGCGTTGTTTTTCGAGCTACATCGCCTTCTTCGTGGTATGATTGAGAATTTAATTGTTGCTGTTATTAGCCCGTTAGTCGTTAGAGTATATCCGCGTCCAGCAAGTTGAGACCTTGAGAAAGCTTGGCAGTCAAGCCGTGCACAGAACTGACTAATTAAATCTTTGTTTGCTGTTCGCCTGTTCGGTTAAATAGAGAAACTGACTCTTAATTATATAAAAGTACCTTGAATTTTTAAGTTTAATTAAAAAGCAAAATGCTCTGCGTACTACCTCCTCCGCAGGCCTTTCGATGCGGGCGGGAATAATTTGCGGGCGTGAAATTTGAGATCAGGGAAGAACGGAAGGCGACGAAAGGCCTGCTGAATAATAGTCGGTTCCTGGGCAGAAGTGACGTTTCCCGGGTATCGGTTTTTAATCCTTAAAAATCTTCGTGAAATATGAACCATCCTATCCCAAAACTATTGTCCCGTGTATGGTAGAGTATTTGTGATACTTCAGGGCAGTCATGGCCGAAAGCAGCGACGAACAGAGGGGAAAATCGAGGATTTCGACGATGTTGATAATATGTCACTAATAATATGTCATTCTGTGAAATGGAAATATGTATGTATTTTACCTGATTAAATATCATGTAGATCATTGACGCGTTTTATAATGCAATTCATAACAAGCAGTCGTAACACAATGATATCGATCGCTATGAACAGGACACGCTTGAATAACGCCATATGTTGACAATTGATATGTTGTGCTCATCGTTCGACGGCAGCGATGTGGATACTCTCAATATATCGTTTTCTGAAATGGACTTGGTATGTAGATTTTTGTGGTAATGGAGATTCTACATGCAGACATTGTGTTATTATACTCAAAGAACAAGCGAACAATGAGACGCTATATTACTTCTATTATACATTGTAAATGTATATTTTTAATATGCAAATATAATTTCACCATATTTATCTTTCAAATTGTGCTTTTAATGTTTCATGCAGACTGATATTTGAATCTTATCTAAAGTATTTGGAATGGCTTATCATAGGCTTAGTCGCAAAATATGTAGAAAGCGGATATAATATCGTTGATGTTGTATTTGCATTGGCATAATTTGTATAAACACTTTATAAGACAGTCTCCATCGTCATAGAAAAGCGGCGGCTAGTTATAAGTACTTTTTAGTCTGCCAAGACCACTGGATGCTATTTCTAAATATTATTTAGATCTATTAGATCAGTGCTGGTATGTATATTGTATATTAAGTCATAATAGTAAAGTCAAAATGAAAATTTCGATTTATAGCATACGCCATCTTGAAAGCATTACTCGGCGGATTTTACTACATCCCGGGCGTTCTTTGTCAGTGCCCGCGATCACAATTAGAATTACCAGCGGTTGAGTTCGCAACTCAATATTCAAACATTTTCAACCAGATAAAAAAAGATTAAAACTTTTTTAAAGCACTTTAGATTTTATACCGATCCCAAACACTAACCGGCCTAACTTTTAAGAGTTAAAAAAGGAAGGAAGAAAAAAATTACAAAAAATTGAGAAAAAGAGCTAAATCAGATAATAAATGTTCGGCATCGATCCCGACCCCGACTGCGTTTCACTTTCGGTACGCAGCGCCTTTACCGCTTGAGCTAACGACAAACTTGGTGAAGATTACCGCAAACACAAGTTTTTATATTGCTACAAAATACGAAATAACTCCCGTCTGTCCAGTCACTTGGTTATTTTTTATTTGAGCTGCTATAAATGTTACTAGCTCATATAAGATCTGTGAAATTAGTGCTAAAACATAAACAGTTTTGTCAAAAAATTAAAAGGCAATATGTCTGGATCAAATAAACTGACTAGAAGCAAACTGATATCTTGAAATATAGATTAACATCCTGACAAACTGTTACAGTTTAATCAAGTTATAAATTCACATCGAGTATTATATAATTTATATTTGGCTTTTAAGATGTTTTCTTTCAAACATTGTGATTTCAGGAAACACTCGATGTTATCATCATATACCGCTGATAATACTAATTGTGATCGCGGGCACTGACAAAGAACGCCCGGGATGTAGTAAAATCCTTACTCGGCAGGCGCTCTCGCCTGCAACCCGCATTTTCCGAACCTGCCCGAAATGCACCCTAAGCGCCTGCGGAGGAGGTAGCTCTGCGTACATGTTCATGAGAATATAATTTTTTTGTGTAACGAAATCTACAACACTTGTCAATCATATTGCATGTGTGTCTAAAAATAACATGTGGGCGTCTCACGGTCTAGACAGGTTTTGTGTCAGGCCCTATTTCAAATTAGGGCCTGAACTTCAGGTTATCATCTCTGGGGCGTCGTATACTAACTTGTTCAGATAGTTGTGTGGCGATGACATCATCGTCACAGAATAAAGACATACAGAAGTGTATCTTCTTATTAAAAGTGCGTAAGGGATTTTTTCAGTCCGCCATGTTCTTAGCAAGTGCCCTAAAGAGAGACAGTCACCCCCCTGAAAACATATTGAAAATTTAATATTCCAGGGGGGTGAATGCCTCTCTTTAGGGCACTTGCTAAGAACATGGCCGCCAGCTATTTCGGTAAAAAAGGCCTTACGGTTTTGTAATGGAAGTTACACTTCTGTATGTCTTTATTCTGTGTCATCGTTGATGTCACGTGAGTTGACGTTGTTGTCGAGTTTTTAGGGCTCTATGTTTTAGGCACGACACTGACAAGCTGAGTTTCAGACATGTTACAGCCAATTGCAGTTGAGCTTGCAGCTTGCATTTTAAACGCGTTGTTATATCGTTGAAAAGTATGCGTTCATTCCTTAGAAACACGCCGTTGCTAGGGGCGTAACGTGAACTTTTGGCGGGCATTGTTGAACTTCTTAACGGCGTTACAACGCGCGCCAAAAGTTCACGTTACGCCCCTAGCAACGGCGTGTTTCCAAGGAATGAACGCATACTTTTCAACGATGCAACAACGCGTTTAAAATGCAAGCTGCAAGCTCAACTGCAATTGGCTGTATACTAATCGAAGTAATAAAGACTTTTCGGTAACAGTTATAAACATCGTTACATGGTGTCAGGTGCGGGATCGTACTGCACGACCGAGGCGTTTTTTTTTCAGGAAAAGAACCCGTACAATCTCTGCCGTACAATCAACAAATAAACAGTAAATACATCGAGCAATGGCAGAACCAGACGCGCCCGCCGCCACAGGCATATACGTTCCACCGTCGAATATACTGCCGCCAAAACCACTCGTGTTTGATGACAACATCGCGATAAGTTGGAAAACATGGAAAAAGGCTTGGAAACGTTTTGAAATTGCCACGGGAGTTTATAAGCAAGACGGAGTTGTTCGTGTATCAACCCTGCTAAGTATAATAGGTGAAGACGGCGTCAAAACATTCGACACTTTTACGTGGGCAGAAGGCGAAAGCGAAGACAATATAGACCAGGTTCTAAAGAAATTTGACGAGCATTGCGAACCAACAACTCAAGTTATTTATGAACGCTATCGATTTAATAACAGAAAACAAGAACAAGGTGAGAATGTTTCAACTTATTTAACCGAATTAAGAACAATCGCTCGGAATTGTGATCATGAGTCAATTACACCCGATGAAATATTAAGAGATAGACTAGTATTGGGCATAAGAGATGACAAAGTTCGCGAGCGATTGCTGCGAACAGATGGGTTGTCACTGAAGAAAGCTGTTGAAATAATTAAGGCCGCAGAGTTTTTGCATTTTTTTTCAATTCTTGAATGAGACGATGCTGGATTCGCGCTCGACGTTTTTGATGGCGTTTCAAATGACG